TAGTTCGCACAGCTACTGAGGCACACAGCCAGGGTTCAAATTCAGCTTGATGGGGCCCCAAAACTAAGGTGTCTGTCATATGACCACCAACGTCTCGTCTCCTAGACCCATCAGGGCTTTGATTCTCTAGGCCAAGTCTTTCAGGGAGCAAATAAGGTAGCATTTTGTTGTTGTTATTGTTTTGCTAACTAATGATCCTTGGACATAACTCGAATATCTGGAAAGCGGGTAAGTTTATTTGCAGGTGTTTCTAGAAGATCAGGAGACAGTGCTGAACTGTGATCTCAGAAGGAAAAGGGCAGAAAAGCTAATGCTAACCAGGAGCTGCCATGCTGTGGCTCCCACGCTGGACCTTCACCCATGATTCCTCCCTTGCCCTTCTGGTAAGTATTATTCTTACGTGCGCACACACACCCTCACCGAGACAGGGTTCTAACAAGCTAAATAACCCATCTCTGGTTACACAGTGAGAAGGAAAAGAATTAGAATTTAAAACCAGGTCCAGGGGCGCCTGGGTGGCTCAGTCGGTTAATCAGCTGCCTTCGGCTCAAGTCATGATCCCAGGGTCCTGGGATGGAGCCCAACATCGGGCTCCCTGCTCAGTGGAGAGTCTGTTTCTCCCTCTCCCTCTGCCTGCCTCTCTGCCTACTTGTGCTCTCTATCTCTCTGTCAAATAAATAAATAAATAAAATCTTTTAAAAAAATAAAACCAGGTCTGGCTCCAAAGTGAGTGCTCTTTCTATCACACTCAGCTACCAGGTGGTGCTGACTGAGAAACCCCAGGCACAACACCCAGAAACGTCTGCACCTGCTCACAGGGACCCGTTCCTCTCCCACAGTCTTCTACTGGGTGGCCTAGTGCCGGTTTTATAAATAACAAGAATCGTGTCAGCTGTTCTCCCCCTTTGATGGCAGGTAACGAACCTGAAAATCTACATTCCCGTCCTCCATCAAATTCCACTCCTGGAATAGGCACCGTTTGACAAGCTGCATGTATAGTGACACAATCCAATAAAAATGAAATGAAGAAAACAACTTTATTTCTGACCACTTTCAAGCCTTCCTTATTTGAGTTGTGAATACTCCAGTTACGTCTCCTACATGGCCTGTCGAGAAATGCATTTTATGGTGAAATATGCCCCTGTGTGACTTGTATTTGAAACTATCTGACTTCCTTTCAAAAGCCTGGGTTAAAGAACCAGGGTGATAGGTTTGTGAGAAATTCTAAAGGGCCTCTTAAACTTTCTTTATGCCACTCTCGCTCTTGATAGATGACCCCTATTGTCGGGTGTTCTTTTTAGGAAATAAAATATCTTCCCCAGGAACCATCTAAATCTTGCCAAAGGGGCAAAAAAAAACCCCCAAAAAACCCTTCTAGTCTGTAATATCATGTAATAATATGAAAAGTGTACTTATGATCTAATGTCAAATAGCAAAGCAGGATATGAAACTATGACTTAGTATGATCTCAAACACATATCCTGAAAAGTCAGTCCAGAAGGAATTCACTTAGAATGTTAATAGCAGTTATTTTTGATTAATGGGATTAGGCATGCTTACTTTGTCTCTTTTAATTTTCAGTATAATAAGAATATATACCTTCTAAAAAGTCAAATAAAATTACTAAAAAAGAAAAACATAATTTTTTCAGAAAGGGGCTTAAATATCATTCAGTATTTCTTTAGCGCCAAAAATCACTGTATGAAATTACAAACTTTTACTAATACCAGACACAAAGATTGTTCAAGAAAAGAAAGTTATATGCCAATGATGCTGATGAATATAGATATCAAAATCCTAAGTAAAATATCAAAAAATCAAATCCATGAATAGAAAATAATATATCATGAACAAGTAGTAGTTACTTCAGAAAGGAAGATTAGAAAAATCTATCAGTAAAATCCACCACAATATAAATTGAAAGGAAAAATATGTATAATCACTGAAATTAATATAAAAAAAGCATATGATAAAATTCAACATGCAAACTCAGGATTTATAAAAAATACTTCCTAGACAATGATAAGTGAAGAAGAAATTATTAAAAAAATCTCTAGCAAAAATTTAAATATCACACAGGAAACTTAGAAGCATTTCCATTAACTGAAGATCAAGTTAAGCATACCTCCTATCACTAAATATTGTACTGACAGATCCAGCCAATGCAATAAGACAAGAAAAAGAATTACTTAAGGATTAGAAAGGAAAACAGAAACCTACTTATGAAGTTATATGTTGTCTCCACAGAAAAATCAAAGAGGAATTGGAAGAATTACTAACAAAGTTTAGTAATGCTATTATATTCAAGATTCGATCAATAAATAAACTGTTAACATTTCCTTTTAAAGTTCTACTTATTTTGGCTCAGTCAGCAACATTTGCTTAATGGAATACTTACTGTTCCACAGGAAAAACTGAGGAGTAAGAAATAAATTAATCCTGTTATGAGCACATTCTCTCGCTTTTTTAATGTATGTATGTGCTTTCATGGTGCCTTGAGCCAGAGAAGTCTATCAAGAATGCATATTGTTTATCACTACTACATAATTAAGAACAATTATAAAATCTTACTTTGGGACAAATCAGCTATACACTTTCTAAGATCCCCTTGGTTCTAGAATGGGATAAGAGAAAACAGTATAATGCTGATGATGAAGATGATGAAAATGAAGAAGAGGAAGAGGAGGAGAAGAGCACAGAAATGGGAGAAGAGAAACAGAGAAAAGAGAGAGGAGAGAAATGGAGAAAAATGACAGGGAAGAAAGGAGATGAGAAGAATTAAGGAGAGAAGGATAAGGAGAAAAGGGAAGGAAAAAGAGAAAAGGAAGAGGAAGAACACACATAAAGACTCTTTGTCGGGGAGCTTGGGTGGCTCAGTTGGTTAAGCATCAGCCTTTGGCTCAGATCATGATCCCAGGGTCCTGGGATCGAGCCCCGCGTCGGGCTCCCTGCTCAGTGGGGAGCCTGCTTCTCCTCTCCCTCTTCTTCTCCCCTGTTTGTGCACATGCTCTCTTTCTCTCTCTGTGTCAAATGAATAAAATCTTTTATAAAAAGGCTCTTTGTTGATCCTTTAATAAATGCCAAGTACTATACTAAGTATTTAATCTGCCCTATCTCAATTATTCTTCAAAGTAAGCCTTTGAAGTTTAATATTATATCCTTACTTATAGGAGAGAAAACAGATGCTCAGAGGTTAAGTAACATTACAAGGTCACACAGGAAGTGGCATAGCTAGAATTTGAATCCAGGTCTGCCTGCCCAGACTCCATGCGTGGTATTGGCCACTTGCAAGCGGGTATTCCTTGCATATGTATTATGCTGATTTTAGAGTCCTGTAAGACATGAAGATGAGGAGGTTCTAAAAAGGTCACCTTCATGCTCCCATTCCAAATCTTCAACTAAGCCAATGTTCTGAAAACCTGAATCCTCATTTTAAGAATGCTCCTGGTTTTGCATGTTCAATTTAAGAATGAAAAGATATTCAGTAAGATACAATTTTTAATGCATTAAGCATTCAAGAGCACAAGTTTGGTGGAAAGGTTAAATTTGAAGCAAAAATATAACTTGTCGTTTTTCAGTGAAAAAGCATTTGAATTCTGGTACATTATCGTGCTCTGGAATCTTTTTTTCCCCCCATGCAGCAGTTCTCCCAAGACCCGTTCTCTCACTGACTTGCTTTCCTTCTATTATTCTTAGACCATGATGCATAAAATACAAGGTCTACATTAAGTTTTAGGAAATGAACTAGATTACTTCCAAAATATGTGTTTCAAATAAACATCCAATGCAAAATTTATCGTCCTTGCTGAGGTTTTGGCTGTCTGCAAGCTGCATGTGTATTACATTTATGTCCTTGCTTCCTATAGAGTGTCAAACAAATGCCATCACGAAACATGACTGGGCAGGCACAGCAGTGTCTCAAACAAATCACTGCCTATACAAAGCAGCTAAGTGCATCCTGGTTTGCAAGCCCATATTCACAGATTTCAAGACCTGAAAGAGAAGTCTATTAATCCTCCTCCATGCGGCTCAGAAGACGGAGAGAAAGACAACACACAACACGAAGTTGCTTACACCTAATTGCCACTGGGAGACAAACATCCTGAAAGGTATGGTCATAAAGCCATGGGACCCAATTCTCGAGAAAACACGGAGAGTGAGAGAATTATTTTATTATCATAGTATGCATGCCAGTCCTCATTAACAGGTATTTACGTGCTTCCTCTGGGTCAAGCACGTTCCAAGTGTTGGAGTTAAAAGGTGAACAAGAGGTCCAGCTCTGCAGGAATGCACAGTCCAGCCAACAAACAAAAACACAGGAAATTTTTAATAAAGTGAGATTCTAACAAAGCCCTACTGCAGCAAAACAAACAAAAACAACTAACCCAGTGCGGGTTAGGAAAGGACAAACCTGGAGATTAAGTAGGAGCCAGTCTAGGAAAAAGTGGAGAGTGACAAAGGATTTCGGGCGAGATTATTGTCCATTGGTTCTCAAAGTCTGGACTCTGAAATAATAGTACCAGTGCCATCGGGGAATTTGTTCTAAATGTAGGTTTGGGCCCTACCCCAGACCTACCAAACCCAAAAATTCTGGGGATGAGACCCAACAATCTGTGTTTTAACAAGCCTTCCAGGTGATTCTGGTGCTGCTGGAATTTGAGAACTTTGGATACCTGCAAAAGTGAATCACAAGAGACAGAATGCCTGGAGGGTAAATAGGGTTGGATAAGGGGGCGGGAGGATTAGGCAGAGATGTTGCTTGCTGGAGGGATGGGTAAAAGGCATACCAGGAAGGGTTTTATAGGTTATGAAAATAATTTTGGATTTTACCCAAGGCATAATGGAGAGCCATTAAAATATACCATGAGTACAGAAAACAGCAAATAATGCTGGCGCCCTTTAAAAAACATATGCCATCACAAAGATAACCTACACATCTTTCCAGAGATAAAACACTACACAGATAAAAAGCCGGTAAGAAAGGAACAAATCAGCCCTACCTTTCTTTCTGGAGTCTTTCTTGGCGCTGGTTTTCACAGCTACTTGAAGTTCTGTCTCAGTTGACATCCTACTAAATCCTTAGTCCACTTCACACAGATCCCGGGCCTCGGCCAGGCTCATGGAGGACTCCTCTCCAAGAGAATGACTCCTCCCTTCAGAAACAACGCTCCGAGCTGCACATCTCATTCACTCCTTCCGAGCGCTGCAAATCAAGCCAAGAGAACGTTCAGAATCATCACCCTTTTGAGGTTAAACAGAAATTAGTCGGGGGTTGGGGAAATAAACTGTCAAACATACACCAGGAAAATCTTGGTCTCCATGTACAAACTGCTCACTTGATGTCATCAAGCCACTGACAGGGTTTGTAGCAAAGGGAATCAGAGCTCTACCTGAAACATGGTCTCTCAACCTAGGTACATAATTCAAAACAGATCTTTTTAAAACTCTGGATTTCCAAGAAGGGCAAACTCCTTGTTTTCCACGTCTTGCTTTCAAGCAGTAGATGCCACCCAGAAAATATAGCAAAGGAGTATTTCCTGAGCAAACCCAGGGAGACATTTCCAACAACAGGGCACCCATCCATCAGCCAAGCTTGATCAGAGCCGTGGCGGCTAAAGCAGATCATAGGGAAGTGACCTGTGGTCTGTCCCTTCACTGCCAGGCATCTGAGGGGACATGGAGTTGACATACAATTGGGCTCCAAGGGTAAGGTGACAAATGGGGCTGAGAAACTTTCCAGCTTTTTCCTCAGCTATAAGAGCAGACAAGCATTTAACGTGGGGAGAAAAAGAAAAGAAGCAGGCAGCCACACGTTCCATTTTTTCTTTCTTTAATAAATATGCATTGCACACTACTAGGTACTATTAAGTCCAGACTCTGTGCTGGGAAGAGATGATAATGATAATAATGATAATACAACCACTTCAATTACAGCTAGTATTTACTATGCACTTACTATATACTTTGCCCTCAGCTACTGCTTCACATACATTATCTCATTTGATTTCAGTTAAATTGAATGAATGTATTTCCTGTGTAGAGTCAACTGCCTTTCCCAGTGACCATCTATCTGATAGTTATATCAAAGAGTTCAGCTGAAAATAAACATTTCAGGGGCGCCTGGGTGGCTCAGTCGTTGAGCGTCTGCCTTCGGCTCAGGTCATGATCCCAGAGTCCTGGGATCAAGCCCCGCATCGGGCTCCCTGCTCTGCGGGAAGCCTGCTTCTCCCTCTCCCACTCCCCCTGCTTGTGTTCCCTCTCTCGCTGTGTCTCTCTCTGTCAAATAAATAAATAAAATCTTTAAAAAAAAATAAAATAAACATTTCACTAGTTATCTCATTTTTTAAAGAAAATGGAGATAAAGCTACTGGAAATAGACCTTCAAACTGTGCAGCCATTTCTGAGCTCATCCCACAGACCCAGAATGGTTGAATCCAAAAAGGCTGACCCTGAATGTGAGTTTCTGCTCAAAAAGAACAGTAAACCGAACCTCTTAATCATGATAACCAAAGAAGGCTTAACTAGAAGGTCTAATAAAAAAGCCACATAAAATTATAGGAAGGCTTTATATCCTCTAGATGTGTCCATGTTGTTACAAATGGCAAGAGGGTATAATGCTGAGTGAAATAAGTCAGAGAAAGATAAATACCACATGACTTCACTCATATGTGGAATTTAAGAAAACAAAACAAAGAGGAAAAGAGACAAACACACTTTTATATACAGAGAACAAACGTGGGGTTGCCAGGGGGGAGGTGGGGAGGAGCATGGGTAAAATAGGTGAAGGGGATTAAGATACTTACTACGATTAGCACTGAGAATAGTTGACTCACTATATTGTACGCCTGAAACTAATATAACACTGTGTGTTAATTATACTTAGATTAAAAAAAATAAAATTAGTAAAATTATAGGAAGGCCCAATAATAGGGAAATTCCCACCTTAGCCAAAGATACTTGGTTTATTTATTTGTTAACAAGTGATTTTTTTAAAAGGATGATGGCCCTGAATGAAAGATGTCTCTACAATAGGAACTAAAGCTACAATTAAGGAAAATGCAAAACTGCCTTCCTAGAATGGGGTCCATGAAATCAAACACAGAAAACGAGAACCTTCCCTGCCACCCTTACGCCATCTGTCTGCACCACACCACTAGCCCTCACCCCCTTCCTAACCTCTCCCCTGACAGAAGACAACATTCCATGGGAGATGACAGAGCCACAACGCTTGGCCGTACATGGACATAATTTTATTAATACCGATCATTTCATTGCAACAAATATCTATGAAGGACCTACAATGGGCCAGGTGCAAATGCTGGCTCATTCAGGTCAACAGACATCCACTGTGCAACAGTCCTGGCTAAGAGTACGGATTCTTTATTCCTGTTGTCAAAGATGCTCAGTCTAATGGAGATGTCAGTCATGTAAGGAACTGTAATACACACAACTGGAACTAACACACACAAACACCGGGTATACTGGGGCACAAAAAAGCAAGTACTCTTACCGTTCGTCTCCCTCTCTGGTTTCGTCCTGTTTCATTTTTCCCTCCCTTCCCCTATGATCTCTTAATCTCAGGAAACAAACTGAGGGTTGCTGGAGTGGCGGGGGGTGGGAGGGATGGGGTGGCTGGGTGATGGACATTGGAGAGGGTATGTGCTATGGTGAGCGCTGTGAATTGTGCAAGACTGTTGAATCACAGACCTGTACCCCTGAAACAAATAATACATTATATGTTAATAAAAAGAAAAGAAGCAAATACTCACCTCTGCTTGGAAGAGTCAATAAAACTTCTCAGAGAAGGAGCCCTATACTGTGGGGTCTTGAAGAACGATTCTTATGCCAAGTAGATAATAAGAGAAAGGACCAATGGGCACTCAATAAATACATGTATAAAAAATGAATGAATGGTTGTTTCTGGCAGAAGGATCAGCTATGCAAAGGCAAGGAGCCTTGCAATGAACAGCCCAACTAATAAAAGGAAATGTAAGTCTAGTAGGGAGGGGATGTACTTCCTCATCTTTGCAACTGTAACTTGTACTGCTACCTTTCTCTTCAATCTTTCTCCTCAAGTCTCACTTGACATTCTATTGACCCCTCAAGGTTGAGTTCAAAAAAGTATAGGCAGAAAGGTTTTCTGGTCTCTCTCTTAAATGGAATCTCTCCCTACTTATACTATGATCTGCTTTTTGGCCGGATCCATAGCTTCAGCCACTTATAAGCAATGTGATACTGAGGAAGTTACTCAACCCCTCCTTGACTCCGTTTCTCCATCGGTATAATGGGGGTAACTTGGAGCTGTGGAAATGAGGTTCGACTACACATGTCACATGCTTGGAAGAGTACCTGGCACACCTCCTGGAAAGCACTTAATATTAAGATGAGGTGCTAATAATTTTCTGTGTTAACAGCTCAAGGTCACGTGGCGGTGTGTGACCACAAGTCCATACCATTACCTTCCCTTTACAGAAGAAGAAACTAAGGTAGGTTATGTCTCCCCTTTAAAGACACTGCAGGAAGAGACAGAATCTATAGATATTTCCATCATGCTGGATGATGGAAATAATACAAATTTAATATAAATAGTAAAATGAGCTGAAATATATAGATTTTACACAATTTCAAGCATTCTTTAAAGTTCATATATAAAACTGGATGGGAACTGGGCCATTTTTTTCCTCTTCAACTTTATAAAGCACAATACAGCACCTCTCCCTATTCTGTGGGTATCTTGAACAAGCACTGCTTGTTCAACAAAATGTGACTGTGTTCAAGTGTTATAAAGCATTACTTGTGAATTTCTGAAGTACACCCTGATACCAATAATGAAAAGAAACCAACATCATTTCAAATAAAACTTTAAATAAGGAAGCTGCAGTAAGGAGAGAACCTACCATAGCCTGGGTCCTGGCATCCCCTTTAATTTTCCAAAAGCCAGAGGTTGGGAAAATGCTGTGAAGTAACTCCAAATTATTTAAGAAATTCGTTTCTTTGTAATTAAGGAGATTAAAGTCCCCCAAGGGCCAGAAACCATGTGACAACTCAAATCATTTTCCCCCAGTAAAAGCTGTGAAACCCTATCAGTTAAATTCAGGCTTGCCTAGAATTTTGAAATGCTTCAATAATGTTTCTTTGCTCCACACAATCTGCGGTAATTTAATATTCCTGAAGTGTGTCAGGTTTTTTATAATGAGCTCTTCAAATCTAAATGTGAATTATGTAACATTCCACTACAGACATCCTGTCTAGTGAACTGCTTCTAAATGTAAAATCCTGTGTTCAGTGACTTGGGGGGGGGCTGGGGGGGCAGTTTGGGAGAGGGGGGCACAAAAACACCAAACCACAAAGCAGAGAAAACACACAGGCCTTAAAAAAAAAAGGCAGCATAAAGGTTTGAGCATCCATAACAGAACACATACTAAAAACCCACTGTAACACAAATTTGTGCTTTCTCTCCCCCCTACCCATCCCTCTCATAAGACCCTACTGGAGAACAGCTAGCATTTAGGAGGGCCCACTATTTGCCAGGTATGATACTATGATCTTCTTTTACTCAACCTTTCAGCCACTTGAAAAGTTAGGTTTTATTATTAGTTTTCATTTAACAAAGAAAAGCAGAAGCTGGTTTGGTAACTGGTCCCCCATCACATGGCTAATAAGTAGCAGAGCACAGGGCAGGGTAAAAACCACTCTTCTCCCCACTTTCCCTGAGAAGCCTCCCCGATGTCCATCAGCTGGAAAAACAAAATGTGGTCTATCTATGCAGTGGAATATTATTCGGCCATAAAAAGGAATGGAGCATTGATATATGCTACAACGTGGATGAACCTTGACAACTGTAGGCCAAATGAAGGAAGTTAAACGCAAACACACCGTATGACTCCATTTATATGAATGACCCAAAATAAATACATTCATAGAGAGATGGCAAGCAGATCAGCGGTTGCCAAGTACTAAGGGAAACAGGGAAGGGGGGGTGACCACTTCATGAGTGCAGGATCGCCTTTGGGGGCGCTAAAAAGGTTTCAGAAGTAAATAGAGGCAGTGGTTGTACAACATCATCAATGTAATAAATACCCATGGATTGTACACGTTAAAATGGTTCATTTTATTTTGTGTGCATTTCACCTAAATTAAACAAAAACAAAACAAGAAAACCTCCAACCCAGGCCCCACACCCAGATTTAAGCCTTTGTGATA